ATATATATTTATATACATGCATAGATACATACATACATACACACACACACACACATATATATATATTTATACTTATAACATCACACACAAATACACAAACACAACCCCTACAAGAGTATTCTCAAATAAAAAAACTCTCTATCAATATTTCGTACACAAGTTGTATTTTCTGTACCTGTGTAAATCTAGACTCATATGTCTGGTATTGCTATATCCCGAAACTAAAGGCTCCAGTATATGTACCATCGGTATAATGATTTCTGATAGCCACATACGGTTTACTACTTTTCGTACTGTATTTATGTACCAAAAATCATGTTTCATCAGTACAATTGCCGGCTTCTACAGTTCATGAACTATCATACCTGCATAAATGTAGTCTTTCCAGCCCCAGCCATGCCTATCACGAGTAAAACAGGCGGACTCTTGCTGTTTTCTTTAACCGGCGGCGACTCCGCGGAGCTGTTGGGGGTCTCTTCTCCTTTACTCGACATTGTTGCTTATCAAATATGTGTGTGTGCGTGATTTAAGTAAACAATATGTGCCTCACAAACACCTATATAGTAAATAAATATGATAATACATACATACAGAAATTAACTGCACATGGCTATATTTGATACATTACCCTACGTCTAGACAACCCAACTTGTATATCAAGCCCCTATTGGCCATTGATATGATTGATCAAGAACCTGGTTTTTCGGCTGTCATGCGAAATGAGAAAAGGACCGCCACAAAAACCAGTCTACTAAAAAGTCAAACAAAATCTCCTTCAAATCTGAAATCTCACAGGTAAAAAGTCAAAAATGATCCCACTCTCTAGCCTCCTCTCTAGTAAAGAAAGGTAGCCTCCTGCTGATTTATTAGATTTGTATAGGTCATGTATCAGTGACCACTCTATATGATATATTTCATATTTTAAGCTTTTGTTCACAAAACCGGAGAAAACAATCAGTTGACTATGTATAAACAGACTCAAGAGCGATCCCTAGCCTCCTCTCTAAATAAGCGTTGAGAGAGGTAGCCTTTTGCTGGTCAATACTGAATTATTGTTGAATTTAGGAGGCTATGACTGAGTAGAGTATTTATTTACCATGTATAGACCATGTACCAGCGAACTGACCACTCTGAGATATGCACCTTTACCCATCTCATAAAGATGTTGCCTCTATCGTGAAGTTGTCTCTTTCCACCTGGTATATTTACACATGACGTGAAGGAATGTCATAGCCTCCTTATGCTCCTATAGTAAATATCGTTTCTGTATCGCATAAGATTTAAGAGATTGCCGCCAAAAGGTTTGAAATCGTGCGGTGTATTTGTTGGTCTTGGACAGATTCCGCGATCACTGATCTGCTGTCGGCCTTTCGCCCCTCTATTTATTTTTCTCCCCAGAGCCAAATTTCAAGAAAGTATCGTTCTTCAACCTGAGGCTCCCGTACCTCAGGCCAGCTTCATGCCTTACCGGAATTTGCGAAAGCACACGCATATGCACGCACAGAGAATATAAATAAAGATTATGTTGACTGTAGTCGATTTATAGACTCCTGATTGATGTAATCTTTACTACAGCGTACAATTGCGAATAGATTTGAATCTACAGCTTCTTTGAAGACCGTCTGAGCGTGAAAATGGCAGACACAGACGCTAAAAGCCTTTCCGAGCTCATGGAGTTGACTGGGTTGGATATAGTCGCAGCACGATCCCTATTACACGCTTTCAATGGGGATACGAACGCGGCCATGAATGATTTTCTCGAGAATGGTGTGGGATCAAAACCCTCGGAATTCATGGAAACAGATTCGCCCGACCACGCACAAGCACACGCGCAGACCAGCACAGTCGAACACTCCGATACCGACGATGAAGACCCGAGGAGAGACACACATACGCAGACCACAACACGTACCACAACGACCGCATCCAGTTCAGGGGATGGCAGAGTGTACGAGACAGCCCCACAGCAGGAAGCGAAGCAGTCGTCGAGTCATGTGGGCGGAAGTGGTAGCTCAGACGAGGAATTCGATACCACTCACATAGGCCGGCGTATTAGGACGCGGAAGCGATCTTACAATCCAGCAGAGAATGACGGAGTAAGAGCGCCCGACCAACAGTATAGGGAGCGGCTATTGGACCCGCACGCAAGTATGTGTCTTTAAGCCTGGTATGATTTTATCTGCGCTGATGCACTACCCGTTATCGATATATATATATATATATATATATATATATATATATATATATATATATATATATACTACACACACACACACACACACACACACACACACACACACACACA